AATTTATGATACACGATGAACTAATAATGAAAACTGTTCTTACTTGCTTGAGCAAATACAAAAAGCCTTATGTCAGGATCTTTCTATCTCAAATTTAATTTCAGTTTCTATTAATTTGCTTGCGTTTTCATCTGCATCAAATTGCTTTAAACAGGTGTGTTTGCACGCATGAGTTCATGAGCCTCACCATCGAGGGAAAACGCCATTCTCCAAGCTGGTGGTTTGACTGCGGAGCCATCGGCGCTGGTAGCTGGATGCACAGCTGCTGTTCAAAGAGGAGCCAGGGGACGGGAAGGGAGTGATCAACAGGCTGCTCAAAGAGGCTGGAAGGACACAAGGAAGTATGGAAAGAAGAGCAAAGGAGGAGAGAAAAGACAAGAAATGAGTAGGAGTTGCACAGAGGGGAATAGGGAACAGATGGAGGGAACGGTGGGTGGAAAGAGTAAAAGGATTAAAGTGAGTCAGACAGCAACTGTGAAGGGTTATCCATTTACAATGAGACATCCCTCACACACAAAACTGGAAAGAATAAAACAATAACTGTTTCTAATGTGACAAAAATATATCAAGGGATAAAAACAAAAAGACAGAACACAAAAAACTTTTTAGTCAACACAATCTATAAATACTGGACAACTTTGTTCTGAGATTTAATTATGACCACACAAGCGAATCGTAAGCGGGAGTCATATTGTTTTCGTACCGTTTATTAATTTTTTTTTTTCCCAGCAATTTTTGGTCAACCGCAGCATTAAAACGGCTGCACTGGTCAACATGAAATTTGGCAGGACTGTAGATAAGTCTGACTTTCACTGCACCAGCCAACGGTTTTACGATAGACCCCATATTTGAGGAGGGGGGCTCCTTTCAAAGAGGGGGTGTCTGGACATGCGAAAATGCTTCTAACTCAAAAACTGTTCAACATAGAAACATAGAAGCTTCAGATTTCTTTTGTTTAGCTCTGATGAAGCTCTATCCATCAGACCCAACAGTCAGTGCCCCCCACTCCACAGACCACCAATTTATCTGAAAAAGGGGTTTTTCGTGCAGTTTATTTTTTTCAGTGATTTTTGGTAAACTGTAGCACAAAAACGACTGCACCAATCAAGATGAAATTTGGCATGAATGTAGATGATTCCGACCTACATTGCGCCAGCCAACGGTTTYGTGATAGACCCCATATTTGAGGAGGGGGCTCCTTTCAAAGAGGGGATGTCAGAACATGCAAAAATGCTTACAACTCAAACTGTTTAACATAAACACTTCAGACTTCTTTTGTTGTTTAGCTCTGATGAAGCTCTATCCATCAGGTCCACCAATTGGGATGCATCTAGTAGCATGACATTTATTAGGAATAAAGACTTCTGAGTTCTGGTGCATTTCTGCGTGCAGGGGTCATTATGTTACCGCTATGCAGTATCTAGTTTCATCCAACAGTCATATGTTGAAGCTTTCCACTTAACTTGGCATGAGAATAAAATCCTTCTCACACACACACACACACACACACACACACACACACACACACACACACACACACACACCAAGTAAAGGTCCCTGACCACAGGGTTATTTACAACCCAGGCAGCAGGCTCTGATCGATTGTCACCTGTACAACCTGCTGTTTGATAAAAGTGGTGGATAAGAGTGCACACCAGAAAATCGTGCTAGATAGAGGCTCAGACAGGGAAAGTTTGAGGTGATGAGTTACGTATGTTTGCATGGATGTCTGCCTGTCAGAGCTGAATAAAGAACTCTCTGGCTTTAACACTGTGAGGTGGTGGAAAGTGCAGTTGAGAGGACAAGGCTTAAATTAGAAGCTCATTTACTAGTAGCCGATTTAAAGAGATGCTATATTTATTCAGCTCCATGTGACGCATGTTTGAGCAAAGAAAGCCATGCCATTGCCAATTGGATGTGGGGATGGTTGTAAAGGAAGATGGGAGGGGGGCAGAGCTGGGGTGGGGTAAAAGTCAGTTTCTGCAGGACAGGTTTTAAGAGGCTACGTAAACATATCACTCTTGTCCACCTTAGATGACTTTTCTTCAGTTTACTTTTATGTTCAAAGACTTCTCAGAACAAAAGTACTAAAAAAGGTGATTTATTATTTTTTTTTAATCTCTTGCACTGCCTGTTTTTATGCATAGCCTTCAGAGGAAACATAGATAAAGAGAAAACTTGTGCGTCTTTGCAAAAACTCTTACATTTCTGGCAGTTTTGTAACAACTAGTCATGTGAGTGTAATAAGTGAAGTTAAAGCAGGTCAACCACACTCACACAGGAAGTGCAAAGGAAAAAAAATACTCATTGATTGCATCACACATTCTGGTAAATTCACACTAAGAAAGGAAAAGTATTTTTAGAAGCTTTTATTGTTTGACTTGGGAAAACTAATGTAAATATAATGTTGGTGTTGTCTGTTTTATTAACCCTTTCCTCTACAGAATAAAACCTAAGCACATTTCAAACCTCAGCCAAAGAACTGAGAGCTTCCCTGGGTGTGGGTCAATCCAGGCTTTGTGTGCAAGTCTCATTAACGCACCTGACCTGGCGATGCCGCTGTCCCTCTCGTCATTTGGACCCCGGCCTGGCATGTCCATTGGATGACTGTGGCCTGGAAGAGAAAGGAAGTGAGATGAGGCAGGCAAAAAGACATAAAAAGTGGCATCATAAAAAGTGGCATCAGTTAATTGGACTTAAGCTCAGACCCGCTGAAGATGCTCTTAGCACCAGTAATTCAAAGGACTGTTGTGTCAGTCATCTTCAGCATCATAAAATATGTTACAGTTTCATTGCACAGGAGCTGAGCAGTTCTTGAGCTGAGCACCAAACAGTTTGTAACACTGATCAAAATTAGGGTCACCAGAAAAACAAGAAAAAAAAAAACCTTAAAAAAGTCTAAAAGCTTTATGGTTGTATTAGGCTGGTTCTCATTGTTACCTTCAAAGATTTCTCTATTTCCCTTTAAAAATCCTTCAGCAGTTTGTTTGCGTGTAAAATTTTGTGATAAAATGTTTAAAAAAACGTATATTAAATGAAGAAAATTCAGATAAAAGCCTTGGAAAATGCAGGACTTCACTTTTGGCTCATTTATTGGCACCAGGTGACAAAGATCTCAGAACATCACTTGGTAACAAACAATAAATGGAGGCAAAAGTGAAGTTGCTGCATGTGGAAGCCTCTTTTTCTTATCAATTTCTTGCATTGTGACCAGCATCTGCTGCCATTGTCATGGCTGTGCATGTTTTTGGTTTGTAAAGTGTCCTCTGATTCAGTTTAATGTGCTGTAGCCACGTTTTAGAGTCTTTAGGTAGTCCGATTCTAATTCATCTCCAGAAAAATCAAAGACGAGTCCAATATGCCTTAATTCCTTTAAGACAATAAGCCTAAATGACTTAGTGAAGGGACACAAATACTGTCAAACACAACAAAAAATACAAGTAAGAAGACCTGCAAAAGACAGAAAGACCTAACAAAACTTTATATATGATAAAGTCAATCAAAAAAATCTGATCCACAGAAGAAAAACAATAATTTGCACAACATCATAACATGGAAAACAAATAATGACAGCAATTGTGTGTGCTGCAATTATTTATTGCGATTTTTTTTTACTGAAGAATCCTTGAAAATTATCAGAGAAACCCACAATGTGACTCTTCTAAAGCACAACATTTAGCAAGTGGTTGCGTGAATATTCCCAGGTAAGTAAAAACAAGCTAAAAACGTTAAAAGTAATAAGTTCCACAGAGGAAGTGTGATGGTAACCACAGTCTTTTTTTTCTTTGATAAATACCAACAAGGCATTTTGTAGGTAGCTGAACTGACAGATATGTCACACTGTTAACTGCAATCATATGTCCTGTATTAGAGCCTGTAAGAGAAAAGCAGAAAACTAAAAGCAACCATCTAATGCAAAAGAATTAAAGAGTCAATGTAAGTTTGTGAATATTATGAGAAGAAGAAAAAGAAACTGAAGTAAGGACTATTGCTTCAGAAACCAACACCTGTGCACCCCCATGCATTTTATAAACATGCAATACACCTGGGTCAGATACTGGCTGATTTATTTAGGATTTTTTTTATATTTTTTTAAGAATTCCTTTGGGCTATCAAGTAAAATTGTTTTACTGAACACTACCAAAAGGAAAACATCAAAAATGACATGTTCCACTGTGATTAAAGTACAAATTAGGTATGTCACAATCTTTCAAGTCAAACTGTTCAAACAAGAATAAATTGACCTTTTATTGGAAACAACCTTCTTTTCCAGCCTCAACTACATGACCCAGGTTGATTGTAGATGTGTTGTGCAACGGCATGCCGTTATTGCCACTGCCATGTGTAAYGCAAGAATCAACACAGATGCATGCCACATCCTGATAAACCACTATTAAACCAACTATAGCTTCTATGCATACATGCAACTGGCACACAGCAGTTGTGGCCAGTTTTGAGCGCCAACCTGAAAAGAAAGAGGCGCTCTTGATGAGGCGCAGTGGGCCCTGTTCAGAGAAGGCCCGTCGAGGGCTGCAGAGCTGAGAAAATCCTGGGCCGCATAAACAAAATACATGGAAGAAAAAAAAGGGAGAAAGAAAGAAAAAAAAGACAAACATGAGCCATGATTAGGAAAGCTGGAAGTATCGTATCCAACCGTCTTGTTAGTTACAAGAGATTTTTAGTCTATTTTCGGCGATCGTCTTCTGACGGTCAGAGAGACGAGACAGCAATTATCACTCACAGAAAACACAGTTAATTATCTTCATTTTATTTTTCATTTATGTTATTTTATTTGTCATGATTATTCCAATCTGGGTTTCAAAATTGATATGCCAAACAGCTCATTATTCTGTCTTTTCTGTAAGGATTGGGAAGTAAATACATAACAGAATAGAGTTTATACAATTTAAGATGTGTTTCTATACTTTTCTAACRTGTGTTTTTATTTTCTAAGCCAGAGGCTGTTTGTGTAAGCTTAAAAACAAACAAAAAAAGGGGTAAGAGTTTCACCACAGTAATGAGTGGTGTCATGAGACTGAGAGAAGCACTAAAAGCATCAGCAGTGCTGGACGGGAGAGTTGACTAAGCTGTTTTCTTAAAAATCATGTGCTTTCAGGGAGTTGAAGTTTTTGCTCACAAGATGAGGGTGAGCTGCTGAACAAGTCTTTCCAGTATGGTTTGTACTTAAAACAAGAATGCTGAAAGGTCACAGGATAATTAACTGTAATGTAACTAAACAAAAAAAAATTGGTAACAAAATGTAGTATTAGGTTTGGTGCGCTGTTGAGTTTATTTGGTTACCTATGTTCCCTAAAAGACTGCTGGGCCCAGTGTTTTGATCTGGCCTTAAGGTGTTACTGTCCGGTCCAATGAACTCTAGACTGTCTTGTAACCTGATAAAACAGCAAGCACAAAAAAGAAAAAAAAATGGAGGTGGTTAATGTAAAATATTTTATAACCACAGTTGCATGCATGCATTTGATCTCAGCTTAAGAAACTTTACCGTATAAAGACAAAGAAATCAATCAAACAAAACTGGCGTTTTTTTCTGCTTATTATTATGGTCATGGAAATGAGCGTGAACGCATGAATGTATGTGTGCTTACGTGTTGAAGCTGCCATACACGCTGCTTCCCGTCCTGGCGGTGAAGACCTTACTCAGCATCAGCTGAGGTGGTGATCTGATATGACGATAACACGGGGACAAAGATTATCAGCATACGAGTTTAGTTCAAAAGGCATACTTGTCGTTCTGTCACATAAAAGGCCTCGTTCTTTTTTTTCCTTCATGAACATACTTTATTGTCTAGTCACAGAAATCTTAACAGCTTTGTTTGTGCATTACCGCCCACAAAGGATAGCTTTAAATATTTACATCATTATAAAAYAGAAATGTAAAATTTTCTTACCTGATCTGGTGGATTTTGAGAGTAGATCCCTTGTAGCTCATGGCTACAGAGCCAAACATCATCTCTCCCAGCATTACCACATCAGAAGAACACCTCGAACCCTGAGGGGAAAACCTGTGTTTTAATGTTTTTTTTTTAAACTACATTTTTAAAATGTAGATGTTCAGAGCTTATGAATGCGTGCTGTATGTAAATCTCTGGTTTGTGGGGTTTACCTGGAAGCGGAGGCCCTGCTCCTTGGATTCCTTGGTTTCAGAGGTACACGAGGAGGAGCTGTCAAGAGAACTGCTGCTGCCTCGTGTAGGCCGGAGCTGGCAGCATTTTCCAAACATCTTCACCTGGCCATCAGCATTCTGCAGGTTACAAACAACCAAAATATTACAAGCTAAGTAGAACTTGAAGTTTGATAGTCTACACTAAATTGTTTTGAAGTTTAGTTTAAAATCACTTTAAAATCTTMCCCTTCACCTTTCCAACAACTTAGCAACTTAGAAACCATGATTTAACAGTAATCCTGTTTTTTTGTTTTGTTTGTTGCTTGTTCAAAATTAATGCTTTTAACTGTATAAATGTATTGCCCACTAAATGAACAATATTTACAAGGTGAATGCTTTTAAGGGCAAAAGCAAATGAAGTCAGACTGTGTGGGTCAAAAACCACAGAAACATAACCCACAGGCACGTGGATAAACAGCTAACTGACAGCAATGTGAGCTCAACCAGCCTGAGTCATGTGCCTTCTTAACTTGGCAGCCTATTCAAATGGAATGCATTTGGGAGGGTGGCAAAAGGAARGGAAAGGGTGTGTGTGCTTTCAGCTCGGCTCTAATGGCTCAGCCACTGTTGAAGTCTATGTAACACTTTATATATATATATTAAAAAAAACAGACAGCTTGCTTCAGTACATAGGTAGTTGCTTTATTACAATGAAAAGTTGCAGGCAACAGGCGCTTAAATATCTGTTTTCCATTTTTTCTCACTGGTATGTTTATGTCCCACAGACACACAGGCTTGTGAAGCTGCAGCTCTGACTTTGTGTTTGAGTATGCACATATGGGTGTGTATGTGTGTGTTTGCTGCAGTGCAGTGTGAGGTGTATACACAGAGTCCAGCAGCATGTGACTGCCAGTCATATGACTCGTGGAGAACTCGTGACTGAGCTGCTCTGCAATCACTCCCCAGCTGTCCACATAAACTCCGCAGCCCTTTCTAAATCCTTACTGCTTCTCCAGCCATTTCCTTACATTTTATCACCTCCCGCACCCACACACACACAAGTTCTCCTCCAGAACATCTTTTGTCTTCTTATTTCACCTGACCCTTGTATCTCTTGCTTGATCCCTCGTTTCTCCATTTCACATATGTGCTTTGCATTTTCAAGCTGCCAWTCGGTCTAAAATAAAATCCAGTGACTTGACAAAAATCAAAGACTTAATATTGCAGAATGCACCAAAAACAGTGACTGCTTTTCATGCAACTCTTACAAGTTCTGCTTGGAAAAACCTGAATGCRTGTTACTACAGGTTTATAGGTGCTCCAAACAAAAGTCACAGTGTAAAACCACATGCCCCATTTAAATGTGATGGAAATGATCTGAGAAAGTTGTGTAAGTGTTCTGATTTAAATGTCAGGGTGACATGTGGTAGGACGGAATGAAGCTGGGTGTTTTAAAGTGAAATAATCTTTGGTTAAGAAACGACAGAACAAGTTTTGTTCAGTGTATAGATATGTTGCAGATGACCATCACTTATTATCAGTTACAAAATATCTAATTCTTTTCAAGAAATGAAGGAAAATGTGGTGTACAAAATTCAGAATCATACACAATGAAAAAAAAACAGATAGTTAAAAAATTTGATGAGATGTTGAAAATGAGAGACACAAATAATAAAGACAGTGAGTGACACGCCTGTCATGTGAGGATGAAAGAATACTGCATACATACAGATTGTCAGCTGATGCTATTATTGGAGATACAAGCGCCAGAACAAACCAGTCAGGGTCAAACGGCAACAGAGTGAGGCATAACAAAAATATTAGATGTGGTATGCAAATTGTAAAAGCCCTAAAGTCACGACTGTGTGTCATTGTTTGTTGAGAAACAAAMATTAAGAAAAGGGCATTATACTGTGGAAAACTGATAACCTGAAGGCACGACTGAAACCTTTTCAAAATATGTTTTAGCACAAATCCTAATAAAGGGAGTTACACACAGTAAAAGTAGGGTCATGRCACCAGTGACACAAAAACAGAGTCCTGCTGACATTTTATTAACGACTGCCTATTAACCATGCCCTGGAAAACTAATCACAAGACTTGTTTAAAAAATATTTATTTAACATGTGATCACTAAACTGGTTTTGTGGCTAATTAAGTTTTATACAGTATGTAATGCTGATAAAACAAAAATCCTAGTAATTCCTAGTAAGAAGCGTTGGTATCAAAGGAATCAAACTCAAATTGGTTGAAATTTTATTATTATTCAGCACTCATAAGATGCAAAAAAAGAGAAGAAAATTACAATTCTTACAGCTGATTCTTCCCTGCTTTAACACAGGCTCTGCTTACTGGAGATTACAGTGACTTTACTTCAGATTGTRTTGTCTGAGGTTTGTGATTTGTCACCTTGCTTCTGGCAAACATTTTACCCGTCTTTGCTTTTACTCTGTCAAGTCTTTGACAGTGGTGGGCAGCACTAATCTAAAAATTTGTTGCACTAACCCTAAAGCACTAATTTTAATATTTAGGTCCCCTAATTCTAAAGCACTAACACACTAAAAAATTTAGCAAAAGCTAATTCTTAAAGCACTAAAATCCTAGCTGACCCATGGAACATTCCTCAGAGTCTGCAAGAGACAATGTTTTCTGTGTGCAGAAAATTCTTAATATTTCATCTCGTGTAGTGGTTCCCAAAGATGGGGTCGGGACCTTGTTGCGGGTCACAAAACATCAAGTGAGAGTCCCCTGATGATTTCCAGAGATCAGTTTAAATGCAAAAAAAAGTGCTAATGGAATATTTTCATCATGATTATTGCAATTTTTTAATAATCAAAAATGAATAAAAATTAATATCATAGTTACTAGGTTTGTTTATAGTTATTTCCATGTTTAACAGAGTTATTAGCAAAATTTGCTACGTAAACAAGTAATATATGGGGTCACAAGTGTCTGCAACTGTTATTTTGTGGGTCAGAAGCAAAAAACTTTGAAAACTGATCTAGTGGATAAGTGATATGCATATGAACACGTCTGACAGCTTTCACCCTCAGCTGTTGACAATAATGTTGATCAATAATATTTAAAGAACTCAATTAGTRCTTATAAGTTTGGCAAGTGCTAATCCACTAATGAATTAACACATTAGCAAAAGCCCTAAAGCACTAATTAGGAAATTAGTTCCCCTATTAGTGTTTTAGTGCTTTAGGGGTACTGTGCCCACCACTGGTCTTTGAGGACCAATATTTTTACCTGCAATAAAATCTTAATACGAAAGTTATGGAAATAACTATTAAATTCTCCCTGAACTTAAAGTTAAAAAATAGAAACAGCTGCCAACAATACTATGGATATTAAAGTATAATGAACAAGCAGGATAGGAAAATGGAATATTAAAAGGTAATCCAAGCAAACAAATGAGAGTTTTTAAAACGCTGTAATCACAAATACAAAGCAAACATGTGACTCACAGTGGTGGGGGTTTCCTCTGTGCCCCTTTTCTTGGCATTGGAGTCAAAGAGGACATTYCTGCCACGCTTCTCGCAGTCCTGGTACACTATCAGTCTGATCTGACTGGGCTCCAGCTGGGGAAGTGGCCAGCTAAATGAAAGGACAGATGAACACAGGGCAGGGAAAGGACATAAGCAAAGAAAGTGAAGATGAAAAATGACAAGTGGATAGGAAGTGGAAGGGAAAAAAAAAGATAATGTAATTAGTACAAATCAATTTAAAATTGCACTTATGAGAGACTAATTGAATGAATGACAAAAAACATCTTACACAAAAAACATTTAACATCTGAAAGCTGCATTTATTAGAAAAATTTGCAGTTTGATGAAATGATGTAAGATGCAAAATGTCACAGTTTAGTTACATAAGAGGAAATATCTGGTTCTGCAGAGTCCAGTTGCTAAAACATATATACAGCTTACTTTTTTTGCTTAATGTTTTGAAATCTTAGTAACAATTATAACAAAAACACTGTATGATGTACTCCATAGAATGTGCAAATTAAACTAAAATGTGGAAATAATTGCWAAATTAGATCAGTTGTGTTTCAAAAGCTTGTATTGCACATCTATAGCTTATGGATGTCAGTAGCTATGTTTACATGCACAAAATTTTTTGATCTGATTGAAATGTATTCGGATTAAATAATCCAAATATACTGTTTACATGGACACAATCCGATCATGAAGTGTTTACATGCACAGGACTTTTACTCAGAATAAAAGTCCGGACATGCGCAGTGTTGTAAACTTTCAGCTCTATTTCCATGTAACAAACGTAAACAAAGCTCTTCTGTGCGCTCAGGACGGACCCGTGTCAGCTTTTAATAACGGTAGAGATGTCGTTACTTCCCAGTTGAGCTGCAGATGAAGCAATAAGTGTTTTTTTTTTTATTTTTTGCGAGCAACGTCTGCTGTTTGTTTCCTTGTTCATCTGTTAAGAGAGCGTGGAGGAAAAGCTCTGTGCGGTGCAGCGCAGCTGGAGCGCTGCTGTCCCACCTCCTCTAAGAGCAGAATCGGGTGAATGAAAGTCAGTAGACATGCGTACTCAGGTCAGTTTTCTACAATCAGAATAAGATGATCGGATTAAGTGTTYACATGAACGTCATTCCGATTATCAATCGGCATAACYCACCCGACTCATTTGGATTAAAAATTCATTCGGATCGAGCTCATTCGGATCAGAATAATCCGAACGGGCTGTTTACATGAYGCATTTTTATTCCGAACGACCTTTTAATCCGATTACTTTTGTCCATGTACACGTAGCTTGTGATAACTAGGTAACATATGAATATAAAGTTGGTCTAAATGCCTTTTGTATAAAAGTAAAATGTATCATAACCTGGATGGCTGAGAATCTTTGCAGATATTAAGCCAGTAGGGAAATGTAAACATGATGTAAATGAAGCCCGTAATAAACACTATTAAGACTGCCACCCAAGCAGTGGCAGAGACAGCAAATCCATGTCACAGCTGCCGTTCATTCATCTCATACCTCAACCAGTAGGGTGTCACAAAGTGGACTCTAAAGACTGACACCGCCTACCATCACAGATCTTCAGTCTAACTTAACAAGCAGCCAATACTGCCAAAAAGGCAGCAAAACATATTTAATGAACTTGAAACAACACTGTTTGTTTAACCTATTCCTGATTAATAATTAGTCAYATTTTTGACTAAGGGCCAACATGAGCCTGCAACTCACCCAGATCTGTGAAGTCGTCATTAATACTCTTCAAAAGTCTGAAAGATTGTTCACTCCTAAAACTGCAGAGTGATTAACAGTCACAGGGTTACCATCAATGACCAGCTGACAGATTTAAATTATGACAGTCACATTTACACATAGTAAGTATAGTAAATAAAAATCTTTTAAGTAACAAATTACTGAGAAATTTTTGCAGGTTCAAACTTCATACACACTTGTGTCAAAGTGGTTGTGATWATGAACCCCACCGTTCCTCTCACTGTGTTTCATACTTTTAAGTCATTAAGCTCAAATAATGACATCTTAGGTAATATCAAAATAAATAATAAAATGCATATTTAGTACAGAGAGTAGATACTCATTTCCCTCCACTGAATTTTAGACCGCCCCTTTGGTTTCTGAGAAACTTTGAGTCCTGGATGCTTTATTGGGGGCTATAACGATGACTGGCTTTTGGACCAGCTGATGATAGTCAAGAATTTCCATCTGATCTGAAAGATAGATGGGTCGGGCAGATGGACACAGGGCAGGACTTAAATATAGTTCTGTACTGGGAGCATAGGGTGCATGTAAACAAAATAGTTTCAATTAAAACGGTTGGTGGGGAGAGGAAGGAAAGAAACGATTAGGACCATTTGACTTTCCAGCAAAATAACAGACACAATTCCACAATCAAATCTGGACAATCTAAATAGGACATAAAATTCTTGTTGATGCTAGTTTGTTTGCACAAATTTGATACKCTTTGTGCATCATTCATGTGCATGCAAAAATGTATTATTTACCAAACACTGGAGTCAGAATTTTTTACGTTTTGGMGGCAATTTTATTTAGTTACAACGTGGAACAAGGTAGGGCGGGTCATGTGCAACAATCTTTGGGTTAAAGTTAATTAGACAGTATGCTGAAAGAATGAACAGCCATTTAAAGCTAGTTTATTATTTAGATTTTTATTAAGCAACAATTTCTACATAGTTAAAAACAAACGTAAGGAAGTATGTGTAGATTACAAAACAATGTAAAAACTTAGCCTTGGTTAATCTGATCAACTTCAATGGCAGAATATAATTTTTCCAAATTACAGCAAATACAATATAGACAAAACAATATAACATGAAAARTTATATGCACGAAATAGTCAAACACAACCAGAAATATGTTTGTTATTTGCTCACAAGCTTGTCGACAACATAACTTTAAGATTACGCCACTTTGCTAGTATTTGTAGTGAACACAACAGACTTCTTTTCTCTGCCATGCATTCATCTCATGTCCTGTGCAACAAGAAACAAGGCCTTCATCTGTCCCTGAGGCTCCAAATGGTCGTTCTGTGTCGAACACGGGTACTGCTTACCCCCAGGGCATGTAACAAGTTTCCACAAATGAACCAGAATACTTGYAGCATTTTGTTGATCGAGTTTATGACCCAAAAGGCTTGTGATGTTTCGGCACATCAAGTTTTTACTGCACAGTTTGAACATTACTGCCTACAAAAAATAAAGATAAATAAACCACAAGAAAGGTGCAGTGGACTCAATTTTGTTGTGAAATTCAAGATGAATAAAATGGTCTTAAATTCCCTATATAATCATTCTGACTCATCTCTAACCAAGTTAAAACAGCTGCTTTAATGGTCCTTGCAATCCTCCTATGGAGCCAAATATTTTGTTTTAACCAGCAGTTGTAAATCAGTGTTTGACCACTTCATAAAAACATTTATCAGTTTTCTTTTCTTGGCTTGTATCCAAGAGAAGACCTCTTGTCCACTGAGTGTTTTGTGTGTGACATGAAGCCTGCCTGCCTCACATAAGGGCCTCAAATCCCACCGTATGGGGCTGGGTTGATGTCAGCCTTGTAGACTGGAGTGTAAGATTACACAGGCTGTTGTTTAAGCTTGTCACATGCCTCCTTGCAGTTGGACTACAGATTCTTGTTGGAGATATATTTATGGATTTTGTGTTTGTTGAACTGTATTTAGCCTTCGTATTCATTATGAGCTAAAATGTCATTTTGACATTTGACGTTAAAATGACTTGTCATTGACAAGTCATTTTAACAACTCAAAGACAGTATTTATCTATCAAAATCAAAATATTGACAATAACTGAAGTTTAAATTTTCCAGCACTGCTCATAATTAAGGGAACCCATTCATAGATATATGCCACTCTAACATCCCTAAAGTGTATATCTATAAAGTCAAACAAGAACTGCACAATAGGCAAATTTGTTTTAGCCATCACTAAAATTAATTAACACAGAATAAGGCTCAGTTTTGCAGTAAAGGTCATGTAAAGCAGAAACTCAAAACATAAAAAATAAAATAAAATAAAAAAACGAGGTGAAAAAGAACAGAGGAGGGAGTATCAGTCAGTGTTTGACAGCCACAGCACTGAAACAGTGTGGAGGCGAATCATTCATAAAAGCAACACATGACTACTAGTCTGACTTCAATTGTCTTAAGCAATGACTCAAAGATTTCTCAGGCACAAGGTATTTGCTTCCTGGAAAACTTGTTGATTTAAAAACAATAAAAGCCATTTAAAAACAAAGCCATAACAACTCATCACATCCTAAACTTCAAATGGGAAAGCAAGATAGACCTTGATTTATTATAATTATTCACTATTTTAATAATTGTTGATCATCAAGTTTAATTTAAAAAGACCTTTAGAAGTATAGTATCACTGAACTTAACTCCACCCAAACAAGTTATCTCTAAAAACAAATGACGTGCTTCCTTACGATCCTCATAACCCACATGACCACAACTGATACAATCAACTTTATTCATCCTCCTGGGCTGGCAGTAAAAACTACTGCTTCACCATTTCATACCATACCAAGTTTAATGCCTCAGACTGTAAACACTCAGGCACAAATAAATAAATAAAAGAAAAAAGAAAGAAAAAAAGAAAAAAATCATCTTGCAACACAAATATTTTCTCAAACATTGCCATGCCCACTCTAATGTAAGTATGCCAAGTTAAATATTGCCAACTCCTACCTGAGCATCATTGTGGGTCTGCCAATCTTTCCCACTCTATTTCTCTCCTCTCCCCTTCTCTTCTGCCAGCCACAGCAGCGGGGTCTAAGAATAGCGGTGAACTAAATTCACACAACAACATGAGACTATCAGGTGATCACAGCAACACAGTGTGCTGGACAGTACAGAGGCAGCAACAGCAGTGAGGATGGACTGCTGACAGTCAGAAAGCGTCGTGATAAGAGTGTGTCAGTGAACAATTGTTTGTTTGTTTCTTAATTCCACTCTTTTTGTTCCTCTCTCTCTTGATTATTCTGTTCCCTTTCTACTTTTTTGATTGGAATCATGTAAATGTACAATTCTAACTTTTAACAAATAGAAGGCAAAAGCTTAAA